CAAACAACCGTTATGTGAACAAAATTAATATATCCTTGTGCACAAGTGCGCTCGGGAATAAAAATACAATCGCCTTTCGGAGTCGGCGTAAAACTGTAGGTCCCTCCGCTTTGTGTGACAACATCAAGGCGCACCCCATAAGTCGGAGGAGAAGCTCAGCCAAACACTAACATTTGTGTAAGCGTCAACCTACTACTATTATTAACTTAATATTTTGGCCAACCTGTTATATGAGAAACTTTGTTGGCGGTTAGTTGAATCTTAACTTACTGTAAGCAACTTAAAAACCTGTAGATTTTAGATTCTTAAGTTACGACTTTACGAAAATTGAGAGCGGTGAGAGAACCAGGATTGCCCAATATTTTCATTTTGTAATTCTAAAAAATAAATGAACTCAAACATATTTGTTTGCATGAATTTTTTGATATGGTATTTTAAGCGGCATAATGTCAAAGAGCTGAGAAAGAAAATACAAAAATATTTCCGCTTCTGACTTAAGTTGACGTGTTGAGTAATCATTGATGATTTCTTACGGTAAGTTAAATTAAGTTAAGTCTAGATTAACTGAGCTTTAAGTTAAATTTTAACTAACTTGGATAAGTCTAACGTTTGACGATTTTTTTATCTCACTGCCACTGCTTAAGAAAAACACCAAAAAACAAAAACGTAAAAATAAAATTTAGTTTTACTTTCTAAATAAACAAAAAATAACTTTTATTGATTTACTAAGAAAAACATAAAACCCAAAAAAAATTGTTTTTTTTTTGCTAAAAATAAACCCCAAAAAAGAACGCTTGTTTTCGGAAAAAAATAAACTACACAATAACGACAATTTTCCGAAAATAATAAAACTAAAAAATATGTTATTTTCTGCAAAAAATAAAACCCAGTAAATAATCATTACAAAGTATTTTTTATTTTTTTGCAATAAAAATTATAACCATTGCTAAAAACAGTTATGTATTAATTCTAATGTATGGTATACAGTTTTATTCGTATGGAAGCGCCTATAAAAAATATTGATTCTATGAAAAATATTTTTTTTTTTTATAAAACTGTGAAACAAGTGTTACTAAATTGTATATAATTTTAATATTAACTGAGTTTGGCTGCAGAAGTCATGCGATAATGTTTTTCATGAATAAGTTAATAAGTTGAGAATTCTAGGGAGTTAGAAAATTTTTAACCACAGTTTCGTGAGGTTTTGGTGCTTTTTGTTGAAGCATACAAATTATTTTGCCAAGAGTAATGCGCTAGACTTTGAAATAGTGATCTTTGTAGTTTCATGGATTTTACTTACATGTTGAGTGTATAGCCGTGAATCCAGTCATCTGCTTATTTTTGTCCGTTTTGAATACCATATACAGCTGATTGGTTGTTGATGAAATCGGATATGGTATTTTGTCGCCGCAAAAGTGACCCAGAAGTGAACTACTTTCGGATTCCCCATCGTATACAGCTACATTGTCATAAGCGCATTCCTGAAAATTCAATTTAAATGTTCAGAATTACTGTTCGGACGCGACGCTCTTGGGTGTTTCGAGAGAAATGTGTTGGGTAAGATACATATAGAATTAGAGCGGTAGCGAAAACAGCTGATACCATTTCGTCGCTTTTATAACTTAGCTGATCATATTTTGAAAAACGAAACCTTATTTAGAAATAATGAAATGATAACAAATATAAATATAAGGCAAGGGGGAATTATTATAAATTATTTTATTTTAAGCCAGATTTAACGAACCGATTACTGTATTTTTCAACCGACAAAAATAATTCGTGTTGTGTGTTCTTCTCTTTTAAATCTTTGAAAGCAAAGAAAACATACGGCCACATTTGGCATGTACTGCCGCCATCGTGATAGAAATAAGTCTATCGCCACGAAACGCCGCCGAGCAAACTTCGCATTTCGCTTTGGCTTTGTTCAATTTGATATGCCGGCGGGTGTTCTAATTTTGACAGCGGAAATTTCGCTGTGGTGAGTTCGCTGTTCGCCGGCATTGTGTTTCCACCGTTACGGGGTATTGAAAAGTTTGATGCATTACCAGTTGGTGATAGTAGAAAAAGAGGACTCCCCTCTCTGTTAAAAATACCGCGTGGAGAAGGAATTGACGACAATTGGTATGCCTCATTGGAAAACGACTATATTCGACCAATTACAGAGTACGGAGGCAAAAATATCACAGCTAAACGGCCAAACACATAAACTTAATTTTGGACTCTAGATTACGATGCCGTTTTCAGAAAACCCGTATCACGTCTATATTTTGAGATATTTGGGAGGGAAGTTTTAGAGCTCTGCAAGTGAAATTTTCGTTGTTTATGACACTGTTCTGGGCGAAGGTATTTTAGGTCCAGCTTTGGAGAATATCGTAGAATGGGATTGAAAAGAACCCAAGTTCAGGTCCAAATAGTGTATAACCCAATAAAATTTAAAAATATTATGAAATAAAATATGTTATAACGAAAAAAAACATATCTAAACAATCAATTGCATGGGAGCTATGTGTTATAGTGAACCGACTTCGATCATTTCCAAAACGAGTTAAGGTAATATCTAAAAACAGTCAGGTGCAAAATTTGAGTAAAATAACTTTATAACTGAGGGAATTATTAAAAAAAGAGTTAAAATTTAGGCAAATTTTCAAGTACCGTTATCTCGAAAACTGGAGCCAACCTGGCAGCTATCAAAACCTTTGCCCAGAAAAATAGCCTTATTCTTAAAAAATAAAGTAGCTTTAAAAAAGTTTTATAAATTGATAAATGTCTGAAAACGTCAATTTATAAAGCTCTTTAAATCTGCATTATTTTTTATGAATAAGGCCAAAAGAGTTTACAGCCTGAGCACAGTGTTATAACGAACAAAAATCTAAAACTTACCTCCTAAATATCTCGAAATTTTGACGTAATACGGATTTTCTGAAATCGGCATCGTAGAAGCCAAAATTAAGTTGACGGGTTTGGTCGTTTAGCTGTGATATTTCAAAACTTTAAAAATTATGTACAGTGTTATTGAAAAATACTTTGTCATATCAGCAATACACTCAAAGGTATGAGAAACAAGTAATTTTTAGCAAAAAAAACCGACTTCAACTCTCATATAAAAAAAAATACATATATATATATATCATGATCCACTGATCGGATCTTAACCAGATTAGTATGGGACCACCTCTGAGACACTACCTTGTCGAAATCGGCTGACGTGGTCCAAAGTTATGCGGTAACATACATAAAAAAAAATAAATAAAAACAAGTAAGAAAGTCTAAGTTCGGGCGGAGCCGAACATTAAATACCCGGCGCAAGTATTAAATATATGTTTTTCACCTTTCCGAAAGCTACCGCTACATGATAAGCCGGGGTGTATACATTTTAAGTAAATTAGCGTCCTTAAATTTCGAAATATTGAAATTTCAAGCATATCTGAAATTTACCGTTATATGAAAAGCGGCCTCAATTTTAGTCCGATTTCAACAATTTTCAA